TGGTCGCAGCAGCGCCGTGACGGGTGGCTGCCGGCCTGCGGGGCACAGTGGGCAGCAGGCTGTTGTGTCTCAGCAGCTGGTCCTCAATCAGCAAGTCCACTCCGCTGTCACCGCTGAAGAACTGGTCCTCTGGGGAGCAAACAGGCTCACGTGACTCGGAGAGAACGGCCAGGGCAGGACCAATAGAGGAAGGCGGGAGGGGGCACAGAGCGAAGGCCCTGCCCGACAGGCTTTCCCCCAGGACCCGGGCCTGGGAGGAAGTCAGGCCCCACCCATCCGTCCACTCATCCCGTGTTTATGGCACAGACAACAGTGAGCAGAGTAAGGTCCTTGCCCCCAGAGCCACCTAGTGAGGGACACACTGACAGTAGACACGGGCCGTGCACATGGCAGTGTACGGAGAGAAGCTGGTGGGTGCGGAGGGGCCGGGAGCAGCGGCAGGGGACCTGCGTGATGGGTACAGTGGTCAGCTCTACTCGCTGGAAGGGAGATGAGCAGAGTCCTGAGGACGTGAGGGAGCCGAGCAGCTGCAGGGAAGAGTGCTCTGGGGGAAACAGCAGCCGTGCAAAGGCCCTGGAGCCGGAATATGCCTGCGAGGCCGATGTGGACAAAGAGGAGGGTTCGAGGTGGGGGTAGCAGGAGGTGAGGGCAGAGGGACATGGGAGCCGGTGGGGGGGGGGGCTTGGGTGCTGCATGCGGACTCCAGTTGTTATCCTGAGTGAATGGGCGCGTGCGCAGGGTGTGAGTGGAGAAGGAAGGTGGGAGCAGATTTCCTAGGGACTAGAGGTGTGGCCCCACGGACTAGTGGGTGAGCTGGTGAATCTCTGCTCATCAAGGCACCGAGGTGCAGGCCGCAGGCAGTGAGACGGCCTCGCAGCTCATGTGGCTGACAAGGCACTTGTCCCCAAATACGCCAGCCTCCCCAAATCAATGATAAAAAGACAACAGTTAAAAATAGGCAAAAGGATTATGACAGCAACTGGGTGAGCAGAGCTGGGGACGAGCCGGACTGGACCCTTTGGGGTGTGGGAAGGGGAGGGTGGGGGGAGGGGCACAGAGTTCAGGAAGCAGGAGAGAGCAGGGACAGCCCGGCTTCTGGGAGTCAGAGGCGGGAGCGCCGTGTGTCAGGCAGGAGGCCAGGCCCGGGGAAGGGCAGGCAGGAGAGTGACTCCTCGCCACCACGTGGTCTTCTGAAAGCCCGTGAGGTCAGGGACCTGCCCACGGCCCCGGGGGACACGGCTGCCCAGCCCGGCCCCAGCCCTGCTGGCCCCACTCACGCTGCTCTTCTATGTCGTTCTCGTCCTCGGGGTCCTGGGCTTTGTAGTAGGTGATGCCCCGGATGATGGCAGGCTTGGAGGCTGGCCGGCCCCGCAGGGACACCTGCCTCTGGACGGGCTGCTGTGGCCGCACCAGCTCGGGTGGAGCCAGTGGCTGCGTCCGCAGGAGCTCGATGGAGTTGACGTGCTGGGACACGGTCTCCTCCCGCAGGAACCTCTCTTCATACTGTTCCTCAGAGGGACAGAGAGAGGCCAGGCCACCGGTCAGGCTCAGGGGACACAGTGGCCAGGCCACCAGTCAGGCTCAGGGGACACAGCGGCAGGTCAGGTGGGGCAGCACTGGAGCCCAGGCAACAGCAAGGACAGACTCAGCCTTCGTCTCAGAGCCAGGGCTCCTGTCGACACCGTGACAAGCTCACTCCCCTCGTGGCTCCTCCGAGGCAGGACTGGGGCGTCAGCCCACTCACGGATCAGGAGGCAGGCACACAGGCTCCTGAGCAGGGCCGGGGCCAGTGCACTCAAAATCAGGGCCCCAGGACTCCAGCTCCTGAGGGCAGTGGCCCATCCAGGAGGTGGTGGGGACCTCAGGGTGTGGCCCAGCCCTGCTCTCAGCCACTGAAGCCCCAAAAGGCCCCTCCCAAGAGGAGGCACGGGCCGTCCCCTGGGGCCCGTCAGGCGGCGGCGGTGCGAGAGCAGAGCCACTTGGAAACAAGCCTCTGCCCCAGACACCTGCGCCCGAGGGGCAGAGCGGTCTCAGAGACACTGAGCTGCTGGTGGCACCACCTCGCTGCCCAGGCGGCCTCTCTGCTGACTACGGTCTGGCCTGGAGGAGGCTGGGCCCTCCCGGCCACAGACACCCTCCCTGGCTGC